TTTCAGCATATGAAAATTTAAGTGGATACTATGTTAAAGGCCACAAGGCATGCCCAATTTGTATGGAAGGCACTTATTATCAACAACTGAAACATGGAAAGAAAACAATGTACATGGGACATCGAAGATTTCTGAATCCAAATCACCCATATCGGAGACTAAAAAAGGCTTTTAATGGATGTCAGGAGACTAACATTGGTCCTATACTCTTAACAGGACAGGAAGTATACTTGAAGGTGATGGACATTGCAGTTGTGTTTGGAAAGACCCAAAAGGCAAGCTCAGATAAACTACTTTAGAAGAAAAAATCTATATTTTTTTATCTTCCATATTGGTGTATCCTTGATGTAAGACACAATATTAATGTGATGCATGTTGAAAAAAATGTGTGTGATAGCTTAATAAGAACACTCCTTAATATAAAAGGAAAGACAAAAGACGATATCAACTCCCACTTAGATTTACTTGAGATGGGTATACGAGAGAAATTAGCACCACGGTCAGTTGGTAAGAGGACATATTTACCATCAGCTTGTCATACTCTATCCAAAAGAGAGAAAAAAAAAGCCTAGGTCATTGTTTACGAGGAATAAAAGTGCCACAAGGTTTTTCTTCAAATATCAAAAGACTTGTCTCAATGAAAGACCTTAAGTTAGTTGGGTTGAAGTCTCACGATTCTTATGTTTTGATACAACATTTTTTACCAATTGCCATTCATGATATATTGCCAAAAAAGGTGAGAGACACTATAAAATAATTGTGTTTTTTCTTTCATAAAATATGTACTAAAGTCAACTGAAGATAATGAAGTAGATGACGTATATGCCATAAGACATGATTACGAAGAAGGGATATGAAAAAATAACTAAAAAAGATAATATACAAGTTAGTTGAATAACTTTTACATTCATACTTGTACTTATATTTTAATGTGTTTTTCTAACTATTTTAATCTTATGTAGGTGAAATATGTCTGATTCAAGTACGCCAAAAAAGGGTAGACGTGCAACACGACTGAGAGATTTAACTCTTAGTCGTACTGGAGAGCAAAACATACCCATTGAGTTTAACAACTCAACGGGTAATCCAGTCAGACCCAATGGAACAAAGTTCAAGAGTTATGTTGCACTACTTGCACGTAGTAAAGTGAACAATTTAACGAAAGATTAGGATCAGGTGGAGATGCGTGTAAAGGACCAAATATGGCAAAGCATAATGGTAAAAATCGTGGTTATTGCCCTCATTTTTAACTAATTCATTTTGTGTACTTATTGTTAACTGATACATTGTGATGCTTCCATGTAGCTGACTTATTATGTTTCTAACACTTAATCTCTTAAGAGGAAATGGTTGTTGTTTGCGGGAGAACGTTGGAGGGCATTCAAGATACACTTGACTTCTAAGTTTATGTTTGGAAGTCATAAAGATGTGTCTCCTTGTGAAGAATATTCTTTCATTGAGGAAGACACATGGAAGAAGTTTGTGGAAACCCAACTCGATTCTGATTTTCAGGTTAGTGTAATGTGTGAAATATTTTTTTTCTGAAGTTTTACTTCATTGACCAATATGCTTAAATGTGTTTTTGTCCTATATTTATAGGAGAAAAGGAAGAAAGCTTAGGCAATTCAGGCAAAGAATTGCCACTCGCATAGGTTGTCACGTGGGGGTTATGAGTTACTTCAGAAGAAGATAATGAAAGAGAAAACCAAAAATGCCTAAGCTTCTCAAACAGACCCCTTTGTAGTTGTCTCTCCTTCATCACCACCTTCACGTCATGAAAAATGGAAGAGAGCACGACAAACGATATCAGGACAGTACATTTCTAATCAAAATCATATAGTGGCCGAAAAAATTGTGAGTATTAAATCATTTATCTTTTATACTTAATCTCATTTCATTCAAAAAATTTTATCCTTAATTAATAAATCAATATTCTTTCTTTCGTAGAATTCTTTAGTAGAGCAGAGTTCCAGGGCACCTTCACACCTGTTAGACGTGAAGACATATTGCTTGTTGCTATTGGTTTATCATAATACCTCGGTCGTGTTCGTACTACTGGATGGGATGTAGGCATTCGTCAGTACTTTGGCACAAGCAATACAAAAAAGAAAGAAGTACTCACAGGTGACGAAATGGAGGCAATCAGGGAGGAGATCAAACAACAAGTGAGAGCTGAGATTAGGCAAGAAATTGCCTCTTTAGGTATTTGTCAAGATAAGACAAATCCCTACACCCTTCCTGAAGCCTCTCGTCCTGAAGACCGTGTTAGCACGAAGGGTAATTGTGCCCCAATGGACCTCAATGACGATGATGCCCCAGTCGATCAATGCAAATTATTTGTTAAGAGTCCTGTGCCACTTGTGGCATATGGAACAGTGCACAACCTAGGTCCAACCATACACAATCATAAAATAAATAATGGTACGCTGAGAGTAGTGGTTGAACGGGTTGAAGTTGCTAATGCACCTATCCCATTGCCAACTGAGGAGGTCAGGACAGTGGGGGAAGCCCCTAATCATTTCATTCTATGGCCTAGACATCTCATGCAATTTTCTTTTGACGAGGTATACTTCATTTCATTTATTCTCTACATAATTATTATTTGAAATTTTGCCTATGAACCTAATTATTAGCAACATTGGTAATTCTCAAGGATATTGTTGAAACTGCAAAGGCCCTTAATCCTGAAAAAAAGAAAAAAAGGACCACGAACTTGACGTACTTCAACGTTTATGCCTAATGGCAATGAAGCTAGGGAAGGAACCTATGCAGTTGGACTTTGATGCTAGAATATGGGGAAATGGTTCTTCAATACCATTGTACCTCACATAGAAGGACATCATGGAGGTTGCAATGAGTGAGGAGATGCTTTGCATTTCAATTATTCAACCATGGTTAATGTAAGTTCATTCATGTTAGTTTTTCATAATTTGTTAATGTGTACTATGTTCAATGACTAATATTTATTTTTATTGTACCATATTGTAATTATCTACATCAACATGCACTTACAAAGGGTGTGGATCATTTGTTTGGATTCCTTGACCCTGTTCAACAGGGCTTGGGAAACAAGCCTGAATCTATTTAGTTATATATTCAAAAGAGGTTGTGTGAAGGAAAGAAGCATTGCTGCCTTGCACCCTTCCATTATCGGTATGTTTTTTCAAATTAGTCTTGTTATATAATTAACTTTATAGTTGCTAATGTGGTGAATTTGGTTTATAAGCAACATTGGCAATTGTTTAGACTCTGTCTAAAAAGTAATGAAGTTATTTTTCTATGTTCGTTATGGAATAAGCCCAAAAAAGAAATGAAGGCCATAATTGATTTGTAAATCAACTTCACATGTATTCAATCTGTTTAACTTATTTACATTAGCATAAACATATACCTAACTCACTCCTTTATGGTAATGTTCATCATCATTAGATCTATAGAAGCATTTAACCTGTTGGAGGGTAAGAATGTGAATAGAAAAAAGCCTATATGGATCTGCCTACGTGTATGTTCACCTTAGAATTTTTTTTTAAAATTGTCTTTATTTCTTTTTCTTATTTGATATTAAATATTTTTTATTCTTCTAGTCACACAAACAAAAAGGGAGTTAGGAGTGTGGGTATTATGTCATGAGGCATATCCTAACTGTCATCACAGTCAGCATTACAGATTCTTGAACGTTGGTAAGTCTGATATAATATTGAATATAAGACCATAGAATATTGGTTTGTTTATAATTACAAAGCTAATACTTATTTGTTATTTGATTTTATAAATATTTGCATATTCTGATCCAATCCCTGAAGAAGAAATTAAAGATATCAAAACACGTTGGGCACAGTTTATTTTAGATATCAGATCAATTTCTTTGTAACATTTCAATGATCAATTAAAATAATATGTATTGATATATATATATATATATATATATATATATATATATATATATATGTGTGTGTGTGTTTGTGTGTATTCATTTTATATATATTGAATTGTAGATTTTCTCAAACAGAAATAGTGTGATATTTTTCTGTATTTCAAGTTGGGTAAAGATGCATTGATTAAAACGTATATTTAAAAATAAATGAACATATTTTACATCGATTGTGACCATAATCGATGTAGAAAGTTATTTCCACATCGGTCATGACCATAACTGATGTACTAAATACACTTTCAACATCAGTTATTGGCACAACCGATGTAGAAAGATTAAATATTCTATATCGGTTACTCAGAATAACTAATGTAAAAGGTGTATTTACTACATCATTTTCATGTATAAACAATGTAAAATATATTTTTTCTACATCAGTTGTTAACTAATGTGGAATATCACCACTTACTATATCAGTTATATCTACTTTGACGTATTAACCGATATAGAAAAGTCTTTTTAACTAATGTTAAAAGCTATTTCTGTACTTGTGGAAGTTAATGGACAATCCTGAAAATGCAATTAAAAAATTAACCAAATTAATTGTTCTATTACTTACTCCAAAATTTGCACATCCATGAAATTTCCTCCCAGGATATTGAAGAGTTCGCAAAGTGTAAATCTTAACCTACACAATCAGTATTGAAGATTTATTCATTCTTATAAAACTTGTAGCATTTGCAGACGGTTGCATACCAACAATAACATCTCTACTCTATTCACTTTGAGAAGTTGAGGCAAGTTCAACTTTTGTTCTTAAAAATAATGGTAATTTAGGGTTTTAATATCACTAGTAATTACGTAAAAGTGTGGTAGATGGTACATCTTTTTACGATAAGGACTAACATAAAAAATATTTTCTGTATAGAACGAATCTGCATAATGTTTATATATAAGAATCAAATAAAAAGTTAATGTGATATATAGAAACCAAAAAGCATTTAAACCATTTAAAAATACATAGCTCGCAAAACTTGAGAAATTTTATGAATGTTGGGCATATAATTATGCGAAATGTGATGTAGAATCGTGGATTGGTTGGTGACAAATCTGGTTTGGTGAGAGGTGGGTGGCAAATTTGATTCAATATCTTGGCGAATAAAAAAATAACCTTTCGGTATTGATGACATGATTTCCATTGGCTCATGAAGTCAACTCTTGTTTTGCATTGACTTGTTCCCTTGTGACCTGTGATCCATGCCAAGTCAGTTGCTTTGAAATCATATCTGAAAAATTTTAAATAAAATCCCATTTATCCAAAATTACAAATTACAAGAGTATTTACGACTAGGAAATACAAACTAAGACGAGCAAGTTCTGGTTAATGCTAAAAGAATCCACAATGATATACACGACAATTAAAAATTACAAATTTCGCAAGAACTATTGACACGTACACTTAGAAGTTCAATACTGGAAAAATGATGGCACCATAAAGATTGTTTCAGCCCCTGAATTTTAGAAGCTTAGTCTACTTTCACAATATTTCTGAACATCCAATGTTCAGTAAAGCTAGTCTTTGAATTCCAGATCATTCACAAACTCTCAAGAATTTGAACAGTGTAACAACAAAACTCCAATCTTTCAGAACTCTTATTTAAGGGACTTTGGCCCCCTCATCCAACAGCATAAGTTGAATCACTTGGGCAACTTTTAGAGTTACTGAAAATCTCAAGACTAATTTGTCCTGGTGCCACTGATGATGACTACCCAGAAATTGCCTTGGGAGTCTTTCTCTTCTGCATATCACGGGCAATCTCAATGCAAGTTTGATCAACCATTCCCAGAAAATCCTTCACTATTACAAACAGTTGAAGACTGTCTTCTGCAGTGTCTTTTGAAGCTCCTCCTTGATAATATTGTGTTGTTTTCTTGATAAGCTGCATTACACTTGCTTGCTTGTCTCTCACAAATTTCAGTTCTTCCCTAGCATTTCCAATAAAATCACCCATTTCTTTCACAAAATATCCTGCTTCACCACTTCCACACTTGGAAACAAGTTCTTGAATTTCAACTAGCCGGGTTGAGAGTGCTGAAATTGAACCAACCAAATTGCTGTAATCTATTTGTGCTGCTTTCTTAACATTGGAGAATTCAGAACTGATCCCTCCTACAATTGGCAATCCTAGTGTTACATGTTCTCTTGCTATCTGCTCATTTGAAGCAGCATTGCTCTCATAGTTCTCATTATCATTGCTGCTCCTGCTACTACTACGGCTCAAGTTCCCAATGTGGTTACGAGCAATGCGTTTTCCCTCAGAACGGACTACTTCTTCAACCACAAAGTGAAGCAATGTGGTTTTTCCATTGGTGCTCTTCACATCAGAGAGCTTCCTTAGAGAAGCCAAGTTGAAAGCTTGAGCATTTCCCCTTGCAGTTCCTGCATTCATTCGGTTTCCGGCCTTAAGCACTGCTTCAAGAAGCTTCACAAAAAGTCCCTTGCTTTTCATTTCCTTACACCCCAGTTCAATTGTCTGCAGAGATTCCTTGATTTCTTGAATCTCATAATCATAGTTCAACCTGAATAGCATAGCATTCAAGCGCTTAAAGGCTGAAGGAACGGCTTTGAGGATGCGATGAAGAAATGATTCAGCTGCTGCAAGTCTTTCCGGGTCTCCTTTGTATTCAAGGATAAGAGATTGCTCTTCTTCTGTGGGGGAAACTCTAGACAGTTTTTCAAGTGTGTCTGCATTGAGTCCCTTGCCATCAATGAGGGCATCAAGAATGTTGCTCTGTGAGACTGCAAGAGATTTCAAAATAATAGCAATGTTCTGTGATTTTCTGGGATCAAGGAGGAAAATTTTTGCCGCTGGAGCTGATTCATCCTTCCTTGGAATGGTGGAGTGACTCTTTCCTTTGGGAGATCTTCGGTTGGTGGCGACATAACCGAAGAGAGCTTCCATAAGATCTTGATCAACCCTGAATTATTGTGTTCAAAATTTGTGATGATTAGTAAAATCTAAACTAGAGGGATCACACACACACATATATATATTACAAAATTGAATGCATAGGATTACCTGAAAGAACCACGATCAACTTTGTCCCAAACCATGGAGTGATCAGCATTAGTATTCACCTTGTCCCAATGCAAAGGCTTCAGCTTCACTTGATCACTGCTGGTATCTGGCATGCCTTTCCCTGAAGAGTTTCTTTGCTTGATAACTGGCATTTCAACGGAAGCAGGTCGTGATTTTGATGATGGTGGAGGAGGTGGTGGTGCTGGACTCATTCTAGCTGGGATTGGGGGAGGAGCAGGTGGTGCTGCTGGACTCTTTCTCTCTGGCATTGGAGGAGGTGGACGTGCTGGTGTAGAGCTACTCATTTTTGGAACTGCTGAGAAAGAAGTCGAGGGTGGTGTTGATGGTGAAGCAGGAGGGGGTGGAGTGGATGATTCAGTTGGAGAGTCTGGTTTCTGAACACCCTTGATAGCAACCCCAACTGATGCAGGAAGACTGGGAATTGTAGGAGGTAGAGTAGAAGCAGAAGGTGGAGGGGGAATTCTTGTAATTTTGTATGGTTCATCATCTCCTGGAGGTATGTTTAAGTGGGAAGTTGAAGATTTCCCTCGAAGCAAAGGAATTTCTTGGATGGACTTGGATTTTTTCACTTGATTTTCTTCAAGATCATGATGATCATCTTCTTTTTCCTTGTTTTTGGGACTACTGGCGACCTCTTTATGAAGATCTATGTTGGAGTTCTTTCCTTCAAGTTTTCTCCAATAAATCACATCCAAACCATCCTCATCAACAATTAGTCCCTTGACATTTCCATCAATTCTCTCAAACACATTTCCCTGAGGCACAACACGGCCGTCCCCACCAGAAGCAGTGTTAGTAATCTCCTTTCTCCTTCTTGACCTTAGGCACCTCTGAATCAAGAAGAAAATCAAACCACAAAGTACTATAGTGCTTGCTGCAGTCGCAGCCACAGCCTTAGCTATTTTACCATTTGATGAAGTACTTTTGGGAGTAGCCACTGGTCCCTGGTCCTGCTTTTGGGTTGGTTCTGATGGTCGTGGTGGCTTAGGTTGTTGTGTTGCTGGTCCTGGAGCTGAAGTTTCATTTGGAAAAAAAGTCTCAATGTTCTGAGGAGAATTGTTAATCTGGCAATGACAGGTTAGTATTGAAACGAAAAAAAGGCTCAAAAGAAGCCATGATTGAGGCATCATATACAAAGCCATCAAAGTAGAGGGGGAAATGAGGATTCTGAAAACAAATACGCTGTCCTACTTTTTCTGCTCATTGATAATTGCAAGTTTTGTCCTTCTTTGTCTTAACCTATTGGTTTTGTTTGCTGAAAGTTTCAAAAGAGTGGAAGCGGTTAGTTCTTGTTGGCCTTCCTGGAATTGAGTGGATCATACAGTTGAGGGATGATTTGGTACTTTCATTGCAAGAGTTGGTGTTGGTTTGAGTCATAAATGGGCATGCAATGCAGCTGGGTCGAAAGGGAAAGGTTTACTTTGTCAAACATGAAGTGAGGACACACGTATGAAGTGGTGCTATCATTATTCAAATAGATTTTAATTTTTTGTTTTTTGTCAAGAACTGGTTGTATAGTCTTCAAAATTCTGACTTCGTTGTTTTATGCAACTTCAAAACCAACAACTCCTATTAAACTATAGATTATGAAGGTATAAAATAGGCAGAATGGGAACCAATTCCATTATAGAACTTTTTAGCTCAAGGAATTAGTTATGACTTACTAGTATTGGTGGAGCCATACCGGGTATTGATTATTGAGAATTGACTAAGGTGGCTCACCAAATTGGCTTTTAGTTGGGACAATGCACTGGCCTAGCAAAGAACCGTTTCCCCCATTTCTTTTTTGCTTTTAGGTAAAAGTTTCCCTCGGATTCTGTTCTTTTCCTTGCTTGGATGGTCATGAGTATTAAGTTCAATCCTTTTCATTTTGGTAATCTAATGCTTCATTACTTTCCAAGGCCACTTTCACTTTGTTAGTTTGCATTCTTAAGTCAAATTTATCTCTCACAATTTTGTTTATTTACTTTTGATTATTTGCAATTTTCTGAGAATGAAGTTGTAACAAATTAAAGTACATTATTACTAGTCGATCAAATTTCTCCATTCGATACATAAGGAAAAATTCATGGAGAATAGTTTTTTATTCGTTTCGATGACTCGAACATATCCATAACTACAACATTTGCCTAAATCGCCGGCCTTGAAAAACACCACGTCTTATACTGTTCTTATTCTAGAGACTCAAATAATAAATTTTAACAGCTTCTAAAATGTGACTTTTATTTATGTATGAAACAAGTAATTTATGTGACTGTTTCCAACAAGCTAAATGAAAATTGTTAAGAAATTAAATAAAAAGGGTATGACGCCGACCAGCTACTCTCTTACCTTTTCCATTAAAACCAACGATTCATTCACATTTTGGAAGTGACAGTACAATTATCAATACAAACTAAAACAAGATGCCCGTGTGCGTGTGAGAGTAAGACCTGTTGTTATATAACGTTGGACAGCTTCAATTTCAGACTACCCAATAAGTGTGAAAAGAAAACCTCAGTGGGTAAAGTATAAAAACTTCATCCATTAATCTTCCACGTTGAAAAAGCGTTGTCTCGGTCATTGAAATGAAAGATAATGCCACGAGAATGTTTGGTGATCCTAAACATTTACTTAACAGAGATGCACACTGTGAGTTACTTCAATAAACTTTAAACAAGTACTTATAAAATATAACATTTTTTTTACATGTTAAAATTCTTCTATGTATTTTAATTTTAATAATTATATTTTACAATTAAATCCAACTGGGTCCACTACATATATCATAAAAAAGTTGATGGGTTTGTGAATTACAAATTTGAAATGAGGTATTATATACAAATGTTGGAGCGGGTTGTTGAAGCTACATAAAAGACTTGTGTGTACTATTATCTACATGGAATCATTTTTTTTTTAACATCCTGAAATTTTTTTTCTTTAATTGGGTTAATTTGGTTGATAGTTTAAATGAAATTATAATTTTATTTTGTAGAGGAAATTAAAAGGAAGAATCAACTGTTCAAGGTTGACCAGTGACTCAGTTACATCTCATGTTGCCTTGCACAGGCTAAAGTATACTTGACTCTATATCTGGTCTCAAGTATAAGATTATTTTAAATACATAAAATTTTTTAAATAATTAATTTTATTAATAATTTAAATATATTTTTTTAAATTGTCTTTAAAATTATTAAGACCTGTTGTTTTACTTTTTTAAAACTAAATTAATTACTTTACGTTAACTAAAAATATTTTTAAAAGACAATAATTAATACAAAAAATAACTTACAAGAAACCTTATAAAAATAACTATAGTGAATTTCCAAAAGAAAATATATTATATTTAAGAATAGAATAATACTATACGTACAACGTGAAAATTAATATATTATAAATTGACGCGTATTACCATTTTGAAAAGGAAAAGTCATCATATTAATCCTATATACATCTATTTCAGCCTTTATATTAATATACTCTTCAATTAATAAAAAGTCACGTTAAGTTTTTGAACTATGCATTTATCATAGCTAGGTTCCATAATAGCAATCATATCTGATTGAAACTTTTAAGTGCACTTGAAAGCGGTGAATTCAGAAATTCAAATAACGTGTTTTTTAACCTGTAACATTTTATATAGGATAAATTCTAATAAATATATCTCTTAATTAATAAATAGAAAATAAAACATAATTTTTTTGAAAAATTATGATAAAATAATTAATACAAATTAATTAAATAGTGTATTTATTAAGATTTATCATGTATAAGATTGCACAAGTTAAAAAACCCCTTTAAATAAAATGAAAAATTGAGACCTTTGCCTATACATTTATTGATTTTATTTAGTTGATTTTCTTCTATTGATGTTGATAATTTTTTAGAATTGGCATTGACTGTTCTTATCTGTTTGGTTATTTTCTTCCTGACGCAATTTACTATGAAACACTTCCATCTGCCTTCCATTTTAACATTCCAATGCCTTTGATTGGGAAACGCGCCGCGCAGTTCAATTGAATTTTATAGAAGGCATCATAAATTTGACAAATACCGAGTCATACGTCGGAAAAAGCAACCTATGTGTCGCGTAGGGATAGAGTAGGAGAACAATATATGGCATATTTTTCTCAAACCTTTTCAAATCTGAAATTTATTGAACAAAAGTTTTATAGTTAATTCCGTCGAAGAATGTCTTAATATTAGTATATTTTGTCAAATTTAGTGTGACCAGTCAAGTCAAGGAAACACGTTGAAATTTCTTAGATCCAAACTCTATAATGAGGATTTTAGAAGACAGCACTACTGTAAGAAAATGTCATATGTTACAATTTATGTTCGAAAAGGATTTCAAACACGTTAAATGGATTTTTTTTATTCATGATATTTAAAAATAATCTATACTAAAATTTTATATTTTTACAAAAATTTAAAATTATAAAACTAAAAAATCATCAATTTATAAGTGTGGAGGTTCAGAGATAGAATACCAAAAAAAAAATTGAAAAGTCTCAATTTGTCCACAGCGATTTAAAAAAATATATTAATTTTTTTAAAATTTAAAATTCACGTATGACAAAAAAAAAATTAAAATTTTCCAATAATAATTTTTGAAAATTAAAATAATTTCAAGTACCAAAAAACTGTCATTTGCAATTTTTTAAAATTTTTTTTATATTTTTCTCCAAAATACTATATTTTGATCATTTTTCTTTTTTCCATGTAAAGAAAGCCCACATGATATAATATATTTATTTTTACTTAAAATTTGTTAAAATTTATAAAAATATGAGAGATAATTATTATATGCATGATAAAAATTATTAAATTAAAAGTGAGATATATATGAATTTTGATAATTTTTAATATATTTTAGTAAATAACTAAAGTGTGTCGCTAGATTTTTTTTAGAGAAATATTGAATTTTATTAGTAATCTCTTTTTAAGTATAAATAATAATCCAGTGTAGAAATAGATATACAATTAATATTAATTTACAATATTTTTATTAATAATTTATTTTTTGATAAAAAAAAATACTAGTTAGGACTATGCTTAATATCTTTTACTGGTATATGACTTGTTTTTATAAGGTAACGAAAATACAAAAAGTCTTAGGCAATTAAAATGTATGGTTTAGGAATAATTTAAGATAAAACAAAATTGATAGTTTTTGGGTTATTGGGTTCTATGGGAGATTCAGAACTTTTGGTAATATACATGTTGAATTGTAAGGTATTTTTAATGAAAGTTTTAAGACTACTTGAAAGTGATTCATTTAATTATGAATCTTTATCCTACATTTCATAAGTATGTTCTAATAATGATCTCAATTCAATAACTTTTGAATAAAGATTAGCAAATTTAGAGCAGATCAGATGGGTGTTGTGCATCTTAGACAGTAGTTTTCATGTTCCTTTTTGTTGCCTTATTTTCACATGTTACAAAAAAAAATTATAAATAAATGTTTGAATGTTATTTTGATTTTTTTAAAAATATATATTTTTATTTGTTCTTTACATAAAAAGTTTACTATTATCTTTTGTTATAACATATTATATTATATTTACACTTTTTATTTTTGTAGTTATATATATATATATATATATATATATATATATATAATAAAGTTTTTCATTGCATCTTTATAGAAATTGAAATAAAATTCTCTTCCAAAGTGTTGAAAATAATTACGGTGATATATAATACAGATGAATGATTTATTAACTTTGAACAATGATAATGTATCTTATTAGTTATAAAGATTATTATGAAAATTGACATTTAAGAGTTAGGTAAAAATATTCCTTTTTTTTTTCATTTCAGAGAGGTGGAAGCCTTAATTTTAGTTTTTTTTCATTTATCTTATAGGTCAAATTCCATGATCAAATTTGTTTATATTTTTAAGTAAAATTATTATTGATTACTTGTTTTATGAGCTTTGATTTTTTTTTTTACGTAAAATTTCAATTTTAATTGGAGTACAACATGAAAGTATCTAAGGTATTATGTGTAAGTTTTAAGCTTAAATATTTTCGCTCAATAATATTTCAAAAATATATAATATACAACGTACCAAAGCATTTTTAACTCAACTCTTAATCTCATGCATAACAATCTTAATAACCACATCAAGTTATAATAGCATTGTTTGAAGTTATAAATCACTCTTTGTAGATTTTTATGAATCATAATAATCATTTTCTACTTATGGTAAGTTTCATTTTGGTTACTATGAGTGTGTTTGAAAAGGTATTTTAGTTAACTAAAATTTTATTTTGTTAACTGAAAAGTTTTTTGTTTAACAGAACTAAGTGTTTATTAAGCCAATAGAAATAGGTGGTCATAAAAATTTTATGGTATTCAATTAGATTAATTGATTGATTTTTATTCTAAGCTCTCTTGTCTTTTTTTTTTACTAAGGTATTAAATAATAATTCTTCACAATACAAAGTCAA